GAAGATTGGAGACTGATGAGAATTAGGCATGGGGTGGATTAATGATTGTGCATTGAGCATTGACTCCCCTATACAGAATTTTATTGTTGTTAACAATCATTTGATCAAAAAATATGAGATACCCTCTCAAAAAAAAAAAAAATCCGTTCCCTGTTTATCAAGACTGAACTCAGCAGAATAATCTGTTCCTTTGTACTTCACCCCATATTTTCCCACTTGCTAATAAGAGATGCAAATGTTGATAAATAAGATGACGGTTTTTAAGCACAACTGGGTCAATAAGTTAAACATTGTGCCCTGCTCCTCCAATTAGACTCTATGAGAAACAGCTCAATTATAATTAGAGATGCAATTATCCCCTTGTTAAAGGTGAAACAAATCACAGGTTTTGGTGAAAAATTTAGTTTTGCTCCTTCTGCCATGCCAACAAATCTTGTATCTATTGATGTTTTGATTCCAGTACTCTTCAAAGAGATAATCTGATGAAATAAAGCATCTCTGAGCATATTTCTGCCTCGCCATATGACAGCAAAATTTTATAGGCATAAACTGAAATGAGCAAAGAGGGATTCATTTCAAAGATGGCTGATATTATGCCCCTGGAGCAAGCAGGTACCCATTCATGGGTGTATTAATTTCTGGTTTCTTTAGGGAGATGAGGAAATTTATCTGCTGAAAGGGCGGCAAATGCCTCCCCAGAAATGAAAGAAAATCATTATATTTTTGGCTTGATGATAGCAAAAGAGCTATTAAAAATTCTAAGCAATACCAATTTAGAGTTTTTCTGGTATTTTTCTTTCTCTTAGTCTACTTTCAATTTCAATATGATTATTATTACCCTGCCCCTCTAGTCTTTGACCCAAAGTAACTCTCAGTGTTCTATTATTCCTCGTGCTAGTGCCCTGGAGCTCTGCTCTCAGTTCCCAGACTTTTGGATTCCCTCACCTCACAATGAATTCTCTCAAAATGTCTGCATCTTCAGAGGTAAAATACATTCCGTGAAGTTCCATTTCCTAAAGTGCAGCATCTGTGTCACATCCAACAGTGACTCTTTCTTTCATTTAGTTAAATATACTTAGAGAATCTACTAAGTAACCTATAGTCTGATGGTGTTCAGAGATAAAACATGAACAAAAATCCTTTCTGCTCCTGATTTCATCAAAATCAGGCAGGCAGAGGAGTAAACGGATTCACTTAACACAAGCAGTAGCTCGAGCTATATAACATCACGGTATATAGGGGCTGACACGTAGCAAGTCACACTGGTTCATCCATACCAGACGTTAAGAACTGAAATAGTTCTGTATCTGCTGCTAAATAACTTAGTGTCCCTCACTTACTGCTGGCTGGTTTCCTGGACGACCTGATGATGCAGCAGCTAAATGGTTTGTATCTGATATCGCTCAAGGCCCTCAGACTCTGTCCCTGTGCTAAGGAGGCCCCACAGTTGTTAAATATTTAGATAAAGAAAATAGATATAAAGAAAAGGCTTGGCAGGGAGTCCAGAGGAGGGATCAGTCCAGCCTAGAGCTTTGAAACACTTATGCTTCATTCCTGTATATGAACAACATAATTTTTCTTCACCAATGAGTGCTGAGAGGAGTTCATAGGCAGAACTGTCACCACCTGGAGAGATGGAGCCTCAGGAAGCCTCAACTGGCTTCTTTCTCCTCGGAGACTTTGTTTGCTACTCTGTTTCTTTCCACTTTAAAAAGAAGCACTACCAAGAGCAGTCTCAGCTCAAATTTCCCCTTGGAGAGAAAATATGAGGACTGGTCTGCTGTCTTGGTCCATGATGATCAAATGGCAAGTAACTTCAAAAATCAGAGTAAGGACAGTGGGACATGATGACTTGCTGTAGAAACTTACTTAAACTAGTCATCTGTAAAGTAGATATTTACATAAATAAGTGTGTTTTCTTCTATTAAAGCTCACTGTGCTATTTCCATTGGTAGCATTCATGGGCTCCTACCAAAGCAACAGGCTAGAGAACAACAGGCAGGCATCTTGATGATTCTTCTAGAACAGAAGCTTCCCTCTGTATAACCCATGGTGCCCAGCCGAGTGCAATGTGCTTAGTGACTATTTTAATTCAAGAGCTTCAATTCAGATTCTGTAAATCAATAGATAATAATACAGTAATTGTATTAGTAACAGCTGATGTTTCTTGAGTGTTTTCTACATGTGCTAAGTGATTTGCACATATCATCTCACTTAAATTGCGCAACTATGTTCTGAACAGATACTATTATTATCTCCATTTTGTAACTGAGGAAACTTCTGTACACAGAACTGAAAAAGCTTGTCCAAAGTCAAAAACTTAAAAGTGGTGATGCTTGGCTTTAAAACTGGAGTTCTGAAAATAAATTAGTTAAACATTCTGTAGTGGTGACTAAAGCCAAGATAGGGAGAAAAGTAAATCTCACCACCTCCAAAGTGCCTTTGCCGTTATTTGCACCAAAGGTGGGGCCACTGCAACATAAGGTCAGTCAAGTTCGTTAGAAACATACTGACTTGTATGGGAGGAAGAAAAATATTGCCTCTGGACATTCTGTAAAAAACATACCTATTTTTTCAACAGAGCAGACAAATACTTGTAAAATAAAGATCTATCAAATAGATCAGCCATGTGTTCATTAAGCATTTACTACCCAAGTTTTTCAGAATCATTTGCCTTGGATAAAAAAGCACCATAAATCCATGCCTGTGTGGCCTGATATTTTAGGGACTGATTTTATTAATGGTAAAATCCAAAGAGTTTTACCTGCTGGTTTACCTGTATTGTAAGGGCAATATTTCATTCCATGCTATGCTATTTTTATACTTTTGGATTCCTCAGACATAGAAGATATTAAATAATGAATGCATTCATCATTAAATTAAAATAATCTTATAGTCCTTTAACTATCCAAGTTACATTTCATCCCCTTCTTTTTTCGTTTATCTGTTCCTTTCAAAGGTTTTCACTGGCTTTCTGATCATGGTGATTCTAAGACTGTTGAAAAGAATCTACATATGAGTTTATTAGCCTGCTCTTGAGCATGTGGGTTTGATCTCTCATCTGACTTCAGAAAAAAAAAAACAGAAAAAATATGCATTAAATATAGTTCTTTGAATGTCAAATGTGTATATGATTTTTGAGCTTGCCAAGTGTTAATTGGTCTCTTCCCCACTGATGATACAAATAAAATTCACAGCCAATTAGTCTGCAGTCATGAATCTTTACTCCTTGACAAAGTGAATCACTTTGTTGAGGAGACTAAAAAAATGTGAAGAAATTGCTAGGAGTTCCTCACTGAGAGTCTTTGCATGAATCAGCCATCTTTAAGAAACACAGTAAAAATGAGTCTATGAAACCTATGTTTCTCAGGATATGTTCTGGTCTTTAAGGTAGTTTAATGGAGGAGGTTTGCATTAGTGTTTCAGAAATACAGTTAAGGAAACAGATGCACTATTGTAATAAGTGAGTGAAACAAAATACTGAATAGAAAAGAGTTGCCTCCTTTCTAGTCACACTAAGTCAAATTGAGTCTCAGTGCTGGAAGATAAGATTTTGGTGTAGTTAGATGAAACAGCTATAATTATGCAAAGTTTCTAATTTACTGCTAGAAATACCATGGGATGCCAGTTACAGGGCAAAAAATAGCTCTGTTCTTCTAAAGTAAAAAAGGAAATTTCATTGAGTGCTATTTTGAGTCTTTGCATTGACACATGTAGATATGAATGGTGGTGAGAGAAAAAGAGTCATTTCGTAAGGGTCCTGCCTATATGCCTAATTATAATTATTAATTTGGAAAGAGCAATCAGACATTTAATTAGTTGCCATGGGGCCAGATAACTGAGCTGACTCCCATTTCTGCTGCAACCCTCAGAAGTCTGAAGAACTATGAGAAATCTAGTAGAAGTTTACTGTTAAATATTAAACAATTTTTAGACAATGTTGCCATTCTCGGTAATGTTATTTTGCAATTTCATAGACAGTGAAAATTCAGGGCGTATCTTTTTTTACAAAAAATTATCTGGCCCAAATTCAGGCCCAAAATGCAACAATTAAAAAATGCCTCTTTCCATCAAAGAGTAAAAATTCCAAAGAACTCACTGTAGTTTGGAGGTTAACAAGGACCACAAACAAAATGACATCGATGTCATGTGTTAAATTAAGTGCATTGGGCCTGTAAGATACTGGATCATCTGGGGCAATAGTGTTTGATATGTATTATGATGTTTCCTAGACATAAAAGGGTAATGTTTTTGAGAGTTTGTGGTTATTTGTTAGCAAATAAAAGACACAGTATTGGATGGTTTTCCTCAACAGTATGCTCTAAGTTGATGGTGAGGGTCTCAAGGGGGGAATAGTACCTTCTCCAGTCATGTAGGCTTATCCCCACTAGACAGGCATTTCTATGGGGCACTATATTGTTTGGGGCTAATGAAAAGTCATGGCATGAATCCAATTCATCAACACTTCATTAGCAATAACAGACTTAGTTTTAGCAAAAACAAAAACTGAAAACGAAAAGCTTGGTGGAAAGCTTACAGGACAAAACTGTTTGACACTTGTTATTCCAAAAACATGTTTTCATTCATGGTGTGTGTGGATATGGCTTTTAGATTACATCATGCAACAGGAAATATATACATGGGGTATACAGTTTTTACATTTTTTGCATATTATCAAGTATAATAATAAAATTAATAGTACATTGTTATACCACCTGTCTCTATGATTAGTGCCAAATAAAGCAGTACTTCTGATTTCTTGAAAGAAAATAACAAAACTAAACCAGACTGCCTGTGGCTTTGTCCAGTGGGGCATTCTAATTGACTCCCATGTCATTAATCAGTTCCCAATCAATCTACTTTGCCAGCAGCATGCAGTTAGGACTCCATTACCAACCATTCATCACACCATACCCTAATTCACTGCACCCTCGGTCATGTGTCAGTCCTCTGTTAGAGTAAGTGCCAACTGCTAAATGCAAAGGATTTTTGTTACTCACTTCAGCCACTGGGATTCCTTCAGGAGGTCGACACTGGAGCAAGACTTCCTGTTCCAAGGATACTTCCTTTCCCAGGGGCTCCTGCTCAAACGTCTTCCGTAGATCTGGGAGCACAGGTAAAGAATACATGATGAAACTAATGAACATTTATTCATTTATAGAAAGTGAAATTAAAAAATCTCAGTTTAATGCTTCATGTGTCTGTGTTTTTTTTGACCACATGTTGTTCACACTGTACCATAGTCTGGGTGATTATATTCTGTGTGATAGAAATTATGAAATTCAGTGGCTATTAACTGTTTCTACTTTAATCTTCAGTGGAATGCCTTGAGAGTCTCATTTTAACAATCAGCATAATTCATTAACTGCATTTCTTTCATATTTCTTAATAACCAACTATGATGATCACATTTTAAATTGAGAACCCCATTTTCATAATTCTTATACAGAGTCCCTTATGTACATAAATATTTTCTTCTTCTTCACAATAAGTACTATTAAAGTTATAATAACTGAAACCTTTTTATCAATAGTTCAAAAGAAAGTTTTTATTTCAGAGCAGAGAAAAAAATGCTAGAGTTTTGAAAGAATGACTATGACTTCTTGAGATATCTCCAAAACAAGGCAGGAGAGAGATTAACTGCTGGGATGAATCCAGAAATATCTCAGTATGTAATTATGTGGCTATTCTTCCAAAAAAAGATTAAATGGTCATTTCTGCCCAGTTATACCAAATACCTACTTATTTATTAATATAATTATGTCACCTAAAGCTATACACAACCAACTTTCTAAAACTGTTATAGATGGACACAAAATGTTGGAAAGCAGTTTGTCATTTTAAACACCAAAGTTAAAAAACCAAGAGTCAGTCATAGAGCCTTAAGGCAGTATTTATTTTTAAAAAATAGAAAATTTACCTCATAATGTACAGTTCAGTTCCTTCCAACAAAATGTTACTGGAATTTTACCCAGTTGATTTCAATAAAGGATTAATATTTCTATCCTTTCATCTCATGTTCCTGTTGAAGACTTCAGAATCTAAAAGAATCATTTGAGCCTATTGAATCAATGGGTGGAAACTCAAAGACCCCAGAGGTACATCCCTAATGTCTTTCAAGGAACTAACAGAAAGCCCGACCAAGGAAAATGCACTGAGAAAAAAAAGAAATCTAATGTTACACACTTGCCATGTTGTTGAATTTCTTGGCAGAAGAAATAGGGGCTGTGAGAAAATTAGAGATCAATGTGGGTCTCAGATAACACAGGCGACTCTCCAAAGGGTGGTAGAATTTAGGTCAGAAGGGCATTTCTAGTTTGATTATCAAGAAATTGAGTATACTGCAGAAATGAACACAAAATCCACATTATTAGAACTTGAAAGGTATCTAAATTATGTTCATATTTTACATATAAGAAACATGTCTACCACCCTACTCCAAACCTTACTGCAAAATGCTCAGTGCTGCATTAGAACTTGCTAACCCTGGATTTGATATATGTCTTGCCATCCTACACATTCCTCTCACATCATGACTACTGGCTAATCTGTGTCCTTCCACAAGAAAAATGAAAAACCTTTCTACCCTTTCTCTTCTCATAGGGTAGTTTCTCTTTGTTTTTGATTTGCACTAAGATAAAGATTTTGGCAAAACACCAAATACAATAATTACATGAAATATAATATAAATAAAAGCAGCAATGAATAATTTTTATGGGATAAAATGTTCTTGACAAGTCACAACTTTTTTGTGAAAAATGATTCTGAAAAAGTCCCTCTCATGTGAGATTGGATGAAGACATAATGACTGGAATTAGTTCTCAAGTCTAATAACATATTGACTCATTCACAGTTAAATTAATCAGTAAATCACAAAGAGAGGGCTGAGAATGAAAGACTGAGGCACATATGTATCCAAATAGTTAAAAAAAATCCCTTTAATATTTATTAATTATATCCTTATGTCAGACTTTTTACTAGGTTTTTAGGAGGAAGATGTATAAAATACTGAGTCAAGACTAGAAAGGTAAACTGAGATCTACTTATGAACACCTTCTGCCATGCTAAAGAATGGCAAACCCTCAAAGGTTTATGTGCAAAGGAGGTCAGATGTCATTGCCCTGAGTGGTGAAGACACAGCAGGTAGTTAGGGATCCATCTGAGTAGGCCAGAAGGAGGAACGATGAGGTCCTCAACTTAGCTAATGCCAGGAAGAGGAGTGGAAGGAAGAGGACAGCTAGTGGACAGGAAGAGGAGAAAATAGATTCTAGAGATAAATAAATCACATATTTGGGAAGATGTAGACAAGGATAACAGTGTGTTTTTAGCTACTGCAATGGTTAAATTGGTATCATTATTCAAAGAAATAGTACCGAGTTGGGCAGGAAAATGAAGAAAGACAGCAAATTTATTTTGGTACATGTTCAGTTTGGGGAATTGTAAGATATTCAAATGGCAAAGTCCAGTAAGTCCAGGTCATGATTTCTCAACCTTAGCACTACTGGCCTTTGGGACTGGATAATTCTCTGTTGTAGGGTTATCCTGCACATAGTAAGATGCTTAGCAGATCTTTGAACTCTACACACTAGATGCCAGTAGCACCCCTCCCAGCCACTAACAGAATAAATGCCTCCAGACATGCTGAACAAGTTGAGAACTGCTGGTGGAGAGCTTGGAGAAGTCCTGCTAGCAGATCTGTGCTCCACTGTCTAGGAGCTAGCTGAAGCACTGAAAATAAATGGCAATGCCAGGGGGAAGCCTGCAGCAATACAAAAAAAAGAGGACCCTGACATTCAAGAGAAAAGCTGCCCCCCAAAATGCCTTGGTGTGAACAAAGAGGTCGGAGAAAAAACAGAGTTGCAAGTTGTCAAAGGAGTCAAGAGGAGAATAAAGTCTTAAGAACCTGGGAGGCCAACAGAACATTTTCAGTGAAGGACTCAAAGAGGAGAAGTCGTCACTGGTTTGGAAGATTCAGGAGTAATGGGGGAGCAGAAGCCAACCTGTGTCGAGGGATACACAGGAATTGGGAAAATGACCATCATGAGAACCCTCCACTCTTCTGCAGAAGTTTATGGCAACAGAAGCAAGCAGCAGCAGTAAGTGGTGATGGGTTTCAATGCAGCATGCTATAGTTTTTCTTAGGATATGGAGTAGTTTGGGGCACAGTTTTCACGTTTCTGCTATAGATAGCGCATCTCATGAGGAGCCTTGTTTCCTAATTGAGAATGGTAACATCTCCCCCCCGCCATCAGAGGCATGCACTTCAAGGGACAGGTTTAACTAAACCACCATTGAATAACAAGTAATTATTTTGTTTTGATGGCTTGGCTTTAAAGTCTATATACATTTAATCTAATTTTTAAAATGGTCTCACATTTAATCCCCCACCAGACAGTACTTCCTCTTGAAAAATCCTTTTAATTCCTGCCATAAAACTTCTTTTCTAGCTTTCAGGTTCTGTGTAATGAACACAGAATATATTGTGGCTGTCCCACACAGCACCTGCTTGTTTCACTATGCCTCCACATTACTCTGCAAGGGGTGGGCGGGTAACATTTTAAGCACATCCTTTATCATTTGGAGAGATGTGAAGGGAGGCAGGCTGGATGCCTTGCAGGCAGAGAGAACACAAGGGTGATGAATGAATAAGCATGAAAAATGGACACTTGTCAGCCAGGAATTAGATGTAAAACAGAATGGTTCAGAATAATGTGGGCATTCCTGTCATGAAAAGAGATGAATTTCTGCCCTTGGAAGACCTTTAGGATTCCAAATTTCTGTTTTCTTTCCATTAGTTCTAAGGCTGCTACTAAAATAAGTATAAAGTTCTTTCATTATAACCTAGATTACTTTGGCAAAGTCAACTTGGCTTACTTCTGATTTAGTCATTGATTCTGCCAATTAAAAGAAAAATCAGCTTTGTCCTATGCATGCATTCAGAGACATGTTTACTTAGGAACATGAATATTGCCTCACTAAATCCATACAGTGAAATCCAATTAGCAGGTGTAGAATCAGACTTGAAACTATATGGATTTCTATTTACCATTTACACAGTAATCAAAGAAAGCTTTTTAGAACCTGTACACACATGAATGAGCACACACATCTCATTTTTTATTGTAGAATTCTGATGCTTTGAATGAATTTTTTGTACTATAATAATAATGTGGTTACAAATTATTTATATTGTGGAATACACTAGTTCATGGCACTCTACAAACTTGAACTCTGCTTTCCTGACAATGTGGCAAACAGAAAAGAAGGCTAACTGGGAGTTCAGAGACTATGGCCTTCATATTCCTTATATGTACAATGAAAGTAAATGACTGGATGCTTTTGAAGGTCTCTTTTGCTAAATGATTGAACAGACTAACGTTTTAAACATGCATTCTTGGGGAAAAAAACTTATTCTTTGTCAGATACTATACTTCCTGATTGTGATGGATCATTAAGGATATATATGAATTATCAGTGTCCAATAAAAATAATGTAAGAATTCATTTAAAAATAATAATATAGGAGTTGATGCATCTTTGAAGAGAACAGCTTTTAATTCTCTCCGCATGACAATTTTCATGGAGCTTTTGGACACCTGAATCTACAGGGCAAGTGTCAGAAAACAGGGATAAGGGTGGGTTCCAGGAGATTCAGTATTAAAAATCAGAAAATTCCTCATATAAATCCAACGAAGCAATCCCAAAATAGATAAAAATTAAAGCTCAGATAATTTTTAAATGCATTGAGAATTATTTTGACAAAACTAATTCTGTCTCCATGCAGAGTTGGCGAAGGAAATACCTACCTAAAACAGCAAGCAAGAAAGCCCATCGTATTAATGTGGATATTTACGAAAGAGGCAGAAAATCAGGTCTCCTCCCCAGTGACAGCCCTTGAGCAACTCCACCTGACACCATCCAAAAAGGGTGAGTTTGACCTATGACAGGGATGTCAAGGCTGGACAGGCCACCGCTTCGAGTAAAATGGGTCACACTACCACCCAAACTCTGTGAGCCCTGCTGATTTTGGAAGGAAACTAGGAGAAAGTATCAGCAAAAGTTCTCGTTATGATGCCTGAACAGGCATGTTGCTGATACTATTTCT